AGAATAAGCTGTGATGTAGTCACAGAGTAAGGCACTTTAAAGATATCTCAGGGGTCCCAACTGAAGATTAATACTTCCTGATCAGCTCAGAAGTTTCTGGCCTTTGAGATAAATATCCCATTACAGCTGGAGCCTACAGATATACAAATTACTACACTAGCTTGTTTTCCTTCCTGTTTTCTTGAGAATGCAGCTACCTCCTTCATCAAGCACTAAAGATTATTCTATGAAGATGCAGTGCACTATAATGTCAATAATAAGAGGTCAGGGTGTAATCCCAAAGGTCCTTAGCTTTCTTTAGATGCCGTATTTTTTAATTTATATGAACACAATTTAAGCCCTTCTCTTGAGTTAACCAGTCTTACATCTTCATCTTATTTCTTATTCACATTTCTGGGATGTTCTCTGTATCAAATTGTTTGAGACTTAGTAAACTCGTGTATTTGCTCCTTTTCTAGATCCAGTTCAATAAAGATCTGTCAAGATACTGCTTTTTGTAGCTTAATAATTATTAGCATGAATTACCAGATGCCTTTACTTATTCTGAAAGCAATTACCTGGCCCATTAAAAAAAATCTCTTTCCAAATCTATTCCCATTAGATTTTCCACCAATCTATATGTTAATATTTAAAGTTCCTCATTAGTACAAAGTCATCTAACTTTTCATGCTCATGAATCTCCTCAAACACCTCCAGCTCAAGTTTAGCATTATGTAATTTTCTTGTTGTTGTTATTGTCATTGATTTTGTCATGTTGTCGTCAAAAGAGGACTCTATTTTTTTGGAGAGGGTTCCTTGGTTTGTCTTATGTAAAGTCTTCTGAATCCTTCGTACCTCACCATTTCAGCTATGCATTGAAAGTAATGTTATCTTTTTTCTATTTTTGCACCATGGAATGAGAAAAGTTCAGGAAAATGCTTCAGCTTACCTCTGAGTTACTTGAAACACATACAAACCCAACGTTTAATATTCTGTATTTTCATTTATCCTTCGAAATGCTCAGTCATCTTTGACAAAACCATTCTAATGGTAGCCAAGCCCCTGGATGTTAGTGGAAAATCTCAGTCCACCTTTCCTGATACTCACAGATTTATTGCACAGAACCCCATTGGTAATAATCTTGAGGGCCTAGGTTCATTTCCAGTTCCCTTCCAGGAAGCACCTTAGATTTTTCAAAATTAAAGAAGAATATATGCATTTACTTGGCTATCCACAAATAGTCAATGCATGGCTTCCCAAAGACCATTCATTCAGTTGGTCTTGACACTGCTATCAGTATAAAGATCTACCTCAAATTTTTGTACATTTGTCTTCTGTCTGTGGACGAAAAGTTATAAACCATATAGACAAGGACTACATCTTCTTGCTGGTCTAGCACCTTACTAATTCTTATTAGAACAATAGTATTGAGGTGGGAAGATGAGAGATATTGCAATTGATAAATGACTCCCACAAGATTTATCTCAGTTATTTATCATGGTTCATGTTTTATGGGTAAGAAGCACAGTAAAGATCATAGTGGTTGTTAAGACATGTGCAAATAAATATAATATGTATGAGTCACCAGAAGTTGGAAAGTAAAAGTTATAAATACCACTTTTTGTTACTAGATTATCTACCTTGGTAGGGGCTGAGATGAGGAGAATTTACAGGACAGGACAATGTTTTAAGAAGAATTGCCTGGACAATGTTTTAAGAAGAATTGCCTGCTATAATATATTTGAAAACACAATTATGTGCTTAAGAACTAAGTTAAATTAAGAATTTAGGCAAGGATTCTAAAGGATTAAATATGAGCAGTGCTATTGTTAATCTAGAAACAGTAAATGGTAGATTAAATGGGAGGATTCCCAAGGATTCTTTGAAGTTGAAAACATATATTTTGGAAAAGAATTAGGTTAAATAATTTATAAGAAAATAAAGTGAAGAAACATACTAAACAAGTATCTTCTTTGGGGAAGTGCTTTACATGTTATCATTTAATTGTCAAAATAAGTAGAAAGATTAGTTCATTTTGTCCCCAAAAAAGCTCAGAGTCAGGAAAGTAAAGTAACCAGCCCAAGGGTACATAGCTCATGCTCTTTCATCCACCTCACATCATTTCTATGAATAACCAACCTGCTCAAATATTCATGGAAGTTGAATTTAATGTTGGTATCTTTATAAAGTGAGTTAAGATTCAGTATTAACTCTGAATTTCAGCATTGAATCATTAGTCAACCATGAATCAGTCAACAACGCTATTTGACTGTCTATGTCTAATACAGACAAATGATGGAGATATTGAGGATTCTGAGGGAAAATAATATCTTATGCCTGAGGCGGATGGCATCTGAAAGAGAAGACAGAATGTGCATAAATCTATAGAAAAATGTATACACGTACAGAAATATGGATACACCCAGAATCATTTTGTAAGCGAAAAATTAGAAAGAAAGTGACTGGCGATAAATGTTGGAGTGACCTGAGTTAAAGTAGCCCAGATACGTTTATGTCTAGGAGTCAAATTTCATAAAATTTAAACATGATATAGGTGATCACTATGTGTCAGACATAAGTGATCATCCTTAGTTCTCGTATGAACCTTGTAAAGTAGGTACTAATATGATCTCAGTTTTACTGGTGATGAAACTAAAGCAGAAAAAAAGAGTCGAGTATGCTGGCCAGGTTTCCAGTGCTGGTAAGTGGCAGAGCTGGGATTTGAACTGAGGTGGTACCAAAGTTGCTGCTCTTACATTAACCTTATACCTTCCATGTCAGTATGCCATGTAAGTGAGCAGTCTATGTTTATCTTAGGACGTAAAGATTATGATTCCCTAACCCTTGACATAACTTTTACATGTGAACATACTTCACCATTGTTCTTAGAGGAAAACAGTCATTAATCTGTTCAACAGATATTTACTGAGCACCTACAATGTGGCATACACCCCTCATGTGGGGGGACAGAACAGTGAACAGGACACAGAAGGACCCTGCTTTGTTAGACTCACAGTACTAGCCACTCAATACACGTTAACAATGCAATACAATGCATTTTAATTTAAAAATAATATATGTTTTCAGTAGCTTGGATAAATTACCTACATCAGTTTCATTAATCCAAAGTTACCCTTAAAATCTACTCTTAAAAATTAATACCGTTTTTCCTCCAAAATTTCTATTAAGTAGAAAGATTTTGGGGATTCTTACATAGAATCAGGGGAGCAGTTCAAACACTAATACAGTCTTAAAATGATTCTCTGAATGGGGCATTAAATCATGTATCTTTGTAGTAGTTATATTTTCATAACATGGTATGCCATTCTTGTCCATTTAGGGAACCGTTTCCTCCCACTGCCCCAAACTGCTTATTATACATGTTGTTCAGTGTCTTTTATCCAGTAAGTAGCTATTAAATGATGTTTAATAACATGTGGAGAATCAGGTATCCTACATTAAAGAAATTCACACTGACATTACTTCCCCCAAATACCAATCATTTGCCAAATTTAAATGGCCTTATTAGCCTACCAATGTTGCTTTTTCCTATGATAGAGACCCACCACTAAAACTCATCAAGTACAACCCATTAAAATGAATGAATATTCCAGAAACCTGCTAAAGTAATCTACATTTTAATGAGACAAGAAAGGCTCTAGGAATATGTTCATTCCCTTGTCTCTTACATATGTTTCCTTACCTGCCCTCTAGGGAGGAGGATGTGAGCAGTGTCTGGCTCCGCTAAGATCCTCCCTCACCTCCACCCCCACCCCCAAGTTTGCTGCCTAAGCTTGCACGCAGGCAACCACATGGCATCACGGAATGGGCTCTTTACATACATGCAGCTACTTACAGAGCTGTGCATACGCGTGTATGCCCATGTATGGGTGTGCTTCGTACGCCTGTGATGGGAGCCCGCGTCGGTCTCCCTCTCCTTTCACCTGACTGGTGGGGAATCCCAACAATTCCCCGGAACTCAGGGAATAGTGAGATGAGGTAAACAGCTCTTTTCCGTTCCCTGGTGGCAGGCACCGCTGGATCCCAGGAATCTGCAATGCCTCTTCTCACTAGCAGCTAATAAAAGGAGACTGGGAAGACGAGCAAGTGGCGAATACATGAACGAGGGAAGGGCCGTGGGACAAAAAACGATGCTTCGGGAGCTACTGAACTATGATTATGTTTCTACACACAAAGCCCTGGGAAGCAAGAGGGGAGGCAGAGGAACTCTGAATGTAAAATGCTCCGAGATTATTTTCCTAATTGTGCCTAGAAATCACCGCCTGGCGCGTGCCCTGCGCGGGGTTAAGGAACCCCAGTGAGTGCCCGCCGAAACTCGCCGCGCGGCATCCGGCGCTTGGAGCTTCCGTGGGGTTTGCGCTTCGAAGACGCGTCCACGCACCATTTTCCCAGGCGGTGTGCGGGTTTCTTAAACAGCCCAGCTGCTGCCTCGGAAAGGAGTTTCTAGAAGCTCCTTCTCTACTGCCTCCCCTCCCCCTTCTTTTTTTTTTTTTTTTTTTTTCCGGTTTTTACCCCCTCGAGGAGCTTCTCCAGCTCCACTGCGTCCGCCCTCCGAGGGGGTACAGGTGCCGCTGTCCCGACTTCTGCCGCCCGGTCCGCCGACGCCGCCTCCTTCGGGCGGGCCTGGGGGCTTCACCCGGCGCTGCTGCATTGTGAATGCACCGTCTCTCGCTGGGCGCTGCGGCCGCTGCCCGGCGCCCGGGACACCTCGCCCTCCCGCGCGACCCCGCGCCCGGGCGGGCGGCGCTTGCGGCGGGCGGGGGGCGGGGAGGGGAGAGGGGGCTCGTCTGGGGGTAGCCGCCTCCTCCGCAGCCTGCCGGCGCCTCGAAACCCGGACCTGCCTCCGCCTCTTCCTCCAGCGACGCGATCCCTCCTCCCGCGCCTCGTCCTCCCGCCGCCCCCGCCGCCGCGCCCCCGGTGGCTGCCTCGGCGGACCCGGGAGGGGGCCCGCCGCGTCCGCCGCGCGCTCGGCTCGGCCCGGCCCGGCCCGGGAGGCGTGCATGCCCCTGCTGCCCGCGGCGCTCACCAGCAGCATGCTCTATTTCCAGATGGTGATCATGGCAGGGACGGTGATGCTGGCGTACTACTTCGAGTACACCGACACGTTCACCGTGAACGTGCAGGGCTTCTTCTGCCACGACAGCGCCTACCGCAAGCCCTACCCGGGCCCGGAGGACAGCAGCGCCGTGCCCCCCGTGCTCCTCTACTCGCTGGCCGCCGGGGTCCCCGTGCTCGTGGTAAGCCCCGGGGTGCCCGCCCTCGCGTCGGACTCCCTCTGTCGCCCCTCACCTTCGGGCTGGAGGCCCGCGCCGGGGTTCGGGGCGCGGCAGCTTTACCTTCTAAGTTCTTCCAACTTGTGGGCAGCCCCTTCCCCAGAGGACATTCTTGTAGGGCGCGTCAGGGGTGGGTGCGCAGGAATCCCGCGCCTCTCCCCACATGCCGCCCCCGCACGCCCTGCTGTGGCTGCAGTATTGGGCGGCGGGGAGGAGGACGACAGGGAAGGGGGGCCGTGGGAGGTGATGCGTGGGGGTCGGGGCTGGGGAGGAGGTGAGCCCTCGGGATGAATTTTTACTTCCTCCCCTCGGTGGCCTTGCCCCACTGGCCGCCTGCCCTGAGACCGCCGCTGGAGGACGGGCGGGCGGGCGAGGAGGAGCGGGCATCAGCTGCTGGGGTGTGCAGGGGACTCCTGCTTCTCGAGTCTGGGCGCCTATTCCCGTTTTACCACCGCCTTTCCTTTCGCACGAAAAGTGCCCGTGGGACGAAGCTGACCAGGAAACCAATATCTAAAAAAGAATGTTGAAAACTGCTAAATGATGAGGCTCCATCCAGCAGCAGCGCTTGCTGAAAAGCAGGAGCTGTGTCCAAATTACAAGATTCATTTAAAGGCTGCTCCAGCCTCTGGGCAGCTTAAGTCCTCATCTCTGATAGCTTTGCTTAGACTGCCTTGGGGATTTTTGGACTGTGTGTGTGTGTGTGTGTGTGTGTGTGTGTGTGTATAAGGACACACACATATGCATACGTAATTATTAGAAGGTTAATGGTAATAATTTACATGTGAATATGGTGCAGTTATTGGTAGAATTGGTGTTTCTTCAGGAAACCTTACGGTTTCTCTGTTACTGTCAAAGTATTGGAGGTTTCCTTCCAGTGGTACCGGTTCTCTCTCTCTCTCTCTTTCAACTCTCAAAAGATAACAAATAGGAAATCGGAAAATGAAGAGGAAAGGGAAAAGGAAAGTTTTATTTTAGTGGTTGAATGTGTACATTTTAACAGTGAATGTTGGGAACATCGATGATATATACTGGGTTGGGTTATTCATGTTTGCTTTGATTTCAGAGAAATAACTTAATATTTTCCCAAATAATGGGAAGTTCCTAATACACATAATGGAATTCCACCAAGGAACTTCTTGATAACTTCAAAGTAACTTCGTTTATCACAGGTACCATGATAGTTGACTTTATATCCTGCTCCAGTATACTGGTTTGAAAAGTGTTAGACCTTGCACCAAAAAATGTTTTGTTTTGTTTTTTAATCTTGTTATTTGCTAGAAATCCACCTTCATGTTGATGTTCTCTCTCTTCCCTTTGACAAGCTGAAAAAGGAAAGAAAATGTAGTCAGTGTAGGGATTCTTTCTGCTTTCTGCAGATGTTGGGTGTTCAGGCACATGTTTTCTGGGGGACTAAATAGCTCAGGGATTTTTTTTTTTTTTTTTTAGAAGAAAGCCTGTCACTTTCAGGTCACTGGTTTGGTTGCGACCATGATCAATAATGTCTGTGACTTTTCTCTTGGTAATTACCATTCTGTATCTTATTTAAATGAGATAGCACCCTTCAGATCCTAACCATCCATCCATGGTGGCAGGTGTCAGCTAGAGACAAGAACATATTGGGCCAAAGATGTTGATTATTTCATACTTAGGGGGAAGCTAGGAGGAGAAAGGGAATTAGTCATTACTGACTACTTTGTGCTGGGCACTGAAAAGTCATAACTGTACTTAGTCCTCAGTGCATTCTTCTCCAAATAATATTTGAGGGCACTGAGGATCAGATAATACAATGGAAAGAGCTGAAAATAAGGTAGGTAGGTGTGGTGTTTGGAGGCCCACGGGACTGACACCCAATGCCATGGTACTTCTACTACTTCCACAGAGGACAAGAGAAGGCTGATGTGGGAAGCATCTAGAATAACAATTGAGAGGTTTTAAGAGGGAGGCTCTCACCTGATTCCCATCATGTTTTGACTTTCAGTTATTTAGTTGCAAGAGAAAGAATTAGGGGGATCAGTCTGAAGAGAAGGAAGTTTTGGGTTTTAGAGGCTAGCTGCACTGCTGGCCCTTGTTTTCCCTTCTGCTTTTCCAAACACTGTGTTCTCACAGTGCGAGAGGTTGGGAACAGTAATGGCAGCCCTGCCTTTCCATTCCTCTCGAGAACACCGGCTTGGCACAGTCACTTTATGTGAAAATAATATTATTAATAATAATACTAGTAATGCCCATGATTTATCGAGTTATATACCTTATACCCATTTAATAGCTACATTACTTATTAAAGCAATTATTATTATTATTGTCACCTAATATTTGCAAAAACTGAAGCTTAGAAAGATAAAATAATTGCCCCAGGACCAGGGCTAAAAAATGTCATACTCAGAATTGTAACCCTACTATGTTGAACTCCCAACCTGAGTCTTTTCTATTGTAATGTACAAATTCAGCTTACTCGTAAGGCATGCTTCTGAATAAATGCCTCAAAAGGTCTCTTTCCCCATCTCTTACATTTCTTGGGCTATAGTGTTAAAGGTTCTTCATATTGTATATTTTTAGCCTTCAAATGTCATTTTTAATTCTTTAGATTAATTTGAAAAGTAGCTCTCCTCACTACCACAATTTGTGGTTTTGTTTCATACTTGCTAAATTCATTTATCTAAAAATCAAAAGCAATATATATTTTCAGTTTTATCACTTTTATGTGATGTTGCTTTGGGGCCCAGGTTTGAAATCTAATAAATTTGGATTCAGATTCAAAGTACCTCCTGCTGCTGTGCTAACTGTTGGGAACCCTGCTTGCTGCCTAACCTTGAACAACTTAGTTTAATCTTGTTAAGCCTCAATTTTCTAAGTCTCAGGATTGTGCATATTAAATTAGATGTAACACATAAATGTCATCCTTGGCCCACAGTGGATACTTCATAAGAGATGAGATCAGTAAATCATTGCCATTATTCATGAAGTGATAATTCAGTAAATGTTTATTGAACTTCTGTGTTGCAAGACAGAGTAGAGGTTATAAAGGAAATTTCAGAAATAAACTAAACTCCTAAGGAGTTTACAGCCTAATTTGGGAAATCAGGTAAACATGCCAAGATCATCATATAAATCACCATAATAGAAGCACGTGCACACACACACACATACACAAATGCATACACACTCCACAAAGACCTCTGGTGGTTCATAAGAAGATCAGATCCTTTTTATTTGGAGGGGTAAGGAAAGGCTTCGTGAAGAAAATGGTGGCATTTGAGATGTGACTTTGAAGAAGAGTCTGGAATGGAGTTTGAGTCAGGACATCAGAGAAGCAGCTACATGGACAGCCACTTGGTAGCAGAAAATGCAGGCTGTACTCTTGACGCAGAAGTTGGTTTGTCTTGTTTCTCAGAATGGTGTGCAGGGAACACAGAAGTTATACGGCTGAAGAAGAAGACTCGGGTCTCATTGATGAGTCCTGGAATGCCAGGCTGCAAGCTGTTCTCAATTTGTTGGGAATGGACTAGGGACACTGTCTGATGGGTGGTGTTTTAGGACATTTTGGGGACAATAAAAATACCGAAAAAGAATTTTAAATGCTTTATCCTCAAGTCTCTTTTATGTGGTGAGATATGAGTTTGATTGTGTTTTCAGAAAATGCCTATAATTTGGGCTCATTTACAAAGACAGATGTCTTGTTCAGATTGATCTGTATAGCATTTGCTAAAGCACCACATATGGAATTTATGGACAGAAATTTAATTAGTGATCTTTGATTTTTTTCATTGATTGAGAGAGCTGGTGATGACAGTGGTTTCTGCTCCCCAAATTTGGATACAGTGGCCATGAGCAGCAATGATCTCATTGCTCCTGAGATCATTAAACAACACAGGTGATTTGAAGGAGACCAAAGCCAGAGCATTCCTCTCGTAGAGCCAGAACCAAGGCAGAGAAAACCAGCAGTGAGCAGGGCAGGTATGAGGGTAGGGAGCATCTCTGATTCCTATGCCTGCGTTCTCAGGAAACACCCTTTGGACCCTGAGATTCTGAGGGATATAGCTATGCTGCTATCCCAAGGGTATTGCATCAATAAATGTGGCAGAGATACATGATGACAGAAAGACATCCTGTATCCAGAGCTCCAGCTTGTTAGATCAGAGTGCCTAAAGCTTTCCCATAGACCTCTTCTCCTGTGAACCTTCCCTTGATGCTTGGTCCTATTTTTACTCCTAGAACTCATGCCTGTGGCCTGGTGCAGGAGCAGCACCGATATGGATATCAGACAAGTCTGGATTCTTATCTGCATTTCTCTCACTCACTATATATGTGACCTTGGGCAAAATTTTCTTATTCATAAACTGTAGATAAAAATGCCTACCTCTTGGAAGGCAGTGCGTCTAAAGGTTAAGATCACAGACTCTGGAGTCAGACTGCTTGGGTTTGAAGCCCAGATCTGCCACTTTCCTGCTGTGTGAACCTGAGCCAGTCTTTCTAGGCTTCAGTTTCTTCCACTGTAAAATGGAGATAATGTGAGTATTGGACTCATAGGATTATTATGAATATGAAATGGGTTGACATATATGTCAGAGCAGTGCCCAGCTAAGTATATGTTACCTACCATTAGTCCTCTCCAGGTTGCGATGATTAATCAAGATAATCTATTTAAGACACCTAGCAAAATGTGTTTATTAGTGGATTCCAGGGCTGATGAAATATTAGAGGTGGCCAGAGGCCACCTGCTTCAGTCCACTCCCCTACAAAAATTGGGGTATCTGAATAGCAAGAATAGCAAAAATCAGAACTCTGTTATTGACATCAAGTCAATGATTCCTACCTTTGATTCCTCTATTTTTTTCAAGTAAGCTGACACTAGCTAATATTTCCTATGCACCAGACACTGCATTAGATACATTTAATGCATTACTTTATTTAATGCTCACTCTTGTAGTACTTTCTTTAAACACAAAGACTGTCATTAAATCCGCTTA